GCCCTGGGTCCCGGGGGGTGAGGGCCGGGCCCCGCTCCAGGCCCACGGCCACCTGCACAGGGTCTGAGCTCCAGGGGGGGAAGGGACCTCCTCACTCGACGGTGGTGGCTACTTGCGGCGAGAACGGTGACTCTGTATCATGATGTGTGCGGCTTCCTGTTCTCAATAAAAGTAATAAATTGGATGTGAACACACACGGCCTGAGTGGCAGCTGTCCTCCCTCTCTGAGCACCGGGGCTGGGCCCACAGCCTGGAGGGGACCTGCACTCCCCTCCGTCCCTCCCCAGCTTCCCTTCCCCCACTCACCTCCCCACAGCGGCAGCCCCCCAAGTTTTACAGAGTTGGTCAGAGTTCCCACCGGGTCGATGTGGGGGCAGCCGAGTCGCAGCCAGGGCAGAAGGCCGGAGTGCAGCACCCTCCACGCCTGTCTGCAGCCCGGGACCCCCAGCTCCGGGGCAGGGGCTGCCACTCACAGGGCAGGCCAGCTATGGGGGTTCCACCCGGCATTCCTCCCGCCCCTGCCAGCCCCGTCACTCGGCTGGCTTAGGTTCTGTGAGCAGATGGGTGCCCCAAGCCCCCAGCTGACCTGGGAGTCCTAGCAAATATGAACCTCAGCAGGACCCGACCTCAGGTGCCCATTCCCACTGGCCAAGGCCCCGTGGTAGCCACACTTCCTGGTAGGGCTACCCGCCCATCTGCACCCTGTCAGTCAGCCACATCCAGGGCCTTGCCTGTGCCATGACAGCCAGGCCTCACTGGCATCCTGCCAGGGCTGGCAGCACCATCCCTCATTTTCATATCCAAGAAGTCATTGCAGACATTCTTATCTGTAATCCTGAGGTGTGGCCGTGGAAACTACAAGTCCCAGCATGCAATGCTCTGGGCAGCCTGCATACTGTGATCCCTTATGCACCTTCAGAGCTCCAAAAGGAAGGCAAGAATGCATGCTGGGATCTGTAGTCTCCACAGACTGAATCATCCTGTTGAGCAGGAGGGCAGCCCAGGGGCCATTCCTCTTGATTGCACCACCAGGGACTGGGGAGCAGAACCCCAACATGGGCAAATGGCAGGACACCAGCGGGGCGGGCACCGGGAATGCCAATGACCTTCTGGGCTGTGGTTTCGTTCCAGCGATCCTTGCCTGGCGACGGACTGCAAGTATGCCAACAAGTTCCACTTCCACTGTCTCTTCGGGAACTGCAAGTACGTCTGCAAGACCTCGGGCAAGGCCGAGTCCCACTGCCTGGACCACATCAACCCCAACAACAACCTGGTGAACGTGCGAGACCAGTTCGCTTACTACTCCCTGCAGTGTCTCTGTCCCAACCAGGTCAGCAGTGGAGGGGGAGGCAGGGCGGGGCAGGGAGGTTGCGGGGAGGGTCCGGCCCCAGGACAACCCCTCCTGGCAGAGGCTGTTTCTCATGCCCTCTTTGAATTGGCCTCCTTCAGATTCTGGAAAGGACACTGTCTGCCCCTGGGCCCTGGCGGCCCTGGGCAGGGGTTCGGATTGGTGCTAGTTGGTGAAGTCTGTCATTTCATCCTAAGCCTCAGTGGCGACTATATCCTGGGCAGCCACGGTGACGTTGGCATCATTCCGCCTCCTGGAACTAGCGAGGCTCCCTTTCCCCAAAGGCCTAGATTTAAAATAGGCACCTTGGACACATAAAGAGATTGAGCTGTCCGTGCCCAGACAGGAAGGGCAGGTCAGATTCATGGTGAACCTCTGGAGGAATCCGGACCTAGATCTGGGTACGGAGAAGTGTGAGGATAAATTAGTGTCTGCCTCGATCTGGGCATACAGAGAAGAGTGCCAGGATAGAATAGTGATGTCCGCTCTGGGTGTGGGTCTAGGGAAGGATGCCGTCAATACCAGGTCGGATGTTTTAGACCAGTGATGGCGAACCTATGACACGTGTGTCAGAGGTGACACGCGAACTCATTTTTTTTGGTTGACTTTTCTTTGTTAAATGGCATTTAAATATATAAAATAAATATCAAAAATGTAAGTCTCTGTTTTACTATGGTTGCAAAAATCAAAAAATTTCTGTATGTGACACGGCACCAGAGTTAAGTTAGGGTTCTTCAAAACGCTGACACGCCGAGCTCAATAGGTTCGCCATCACTGTTTTAGTCAAATGGCAAAAAGGGGGCGGACTACCTTTTAGCGAGTGAAAGGTCCTTACCCGATTGTGCTTTCGGATTCTGAGCACGGAAGAACACGTAGGCAAGGGGCCTGCCGCCGCCCACAGGCCGGGGCAGGTGGGACTCACAGAGTTTGCCCACCTGGCCCGACCCTCCTCTCCCTCCCTGCAGCACTGCGAGTTCCGGATGCGCGGCCACTACCACTGCCTCCGGACCGGCTGCTACTTTGTGACCAACATCACCACCAAGCTGCCGTGGCACATAAAGAAGCACGAGAAAGCTGAACGGCGGGCAGCCAACGGGTTCAAGTACTTCACCAAGCGCGAGGAGTGCGGCCGGCTAGGTACCGACGGCCAGGCCCGGGGCGGGGACGTGCAGCAGGCGGCGGGGCTGGGGCCCTGGCCCCCGGTTCCCTTCTCTTGGCACCTACCTCCTGCCCCCGCACATCAGGCTCCAGATTTTGTTAAAAGTGTCACAGACATCACAAGCCAGGCATCGTCAAACTGGGAAAACCGTCAGAACCCAGGAGCCCATGGGCAGGGGGTGCAGGTGATGTGGAGCACACACCCACCTGGGGCAGCGCCTGGCCCTCATCAGGTGTCCAGGCCTGGGCTTGGTTCTCTTTCCCTTTCGTTTCTCTCTTTTTAAAAAAATATTTTTATTGATTCCAGAGAGGAAGGGAGAGGGAGAGAGAGATAGAAACATCAATGATGAGAGAGAATCATTGATCGGCTGCCTCCTGCACGCCCCACACTGGGGATCGAGCCCATAACCCGGGCATGTGCCCCGACCGGGAATCGAACCGTGACCTCCTGGTTCATAGGTCGACGCTCAACCACTGAGCCACGCCGGCCGGGCTCTTTGCCTTTAAGGGGCTTCCCAGTGAGTGTGGGGAGCTCCCGAGGTTCCTGTCCTGGCATCTTTGTCCACGGCTTCAGCTGCGAGGGTTTTGTCTAACATGTGCCGTGGTTTGTTCAATGGTTCGTTCATTCATTCGGCAGAGGTTCATTGGGAACAGCCATGTTCCAAGCTCTACGGGGGGGTGTGAAGGCAGCAGCAGCCAAAGTGCTTTTGTCATCTGCTGTGGCCGGCACTGTGCTCGGTGCCAGGAACCTTGTGGACAGCACGTGCACGGTGGGCTAAGGTGACCCAGAGGGAAGTGGCCATGGGGCTGGGAAGAGGAGGCCACAAACGGCCCCAAGCTCTGCAGCAGGTGCCTGCGTGTTAACTCTGCTGCCGAGAATTGGACCCCCAGCAGGGAAGCTGCCCCCTGGCCCCGGAACCGGGCTTCCCAGAGTTTGCCCTGGGGGTGCCTTGGGGAGGGGCCTCCAGGACCGGCAGGCAGGAGGGCAGCGCCTCGTGCTCTCAGGCTGCAGCGGTGGGGCAAGAATCTGCCCGAGGAGGGACTGGAGCCTGGAGGCAGGTGGTAGCCAGCAGGCTGGGCAGACACCTGCTCTGTGGGCGAGCCCTGTTGTGGCTCAGGTGGTCATGGCAGCAGGGACTTGGGGGGAGCATAGGTGGGGCCACTGCCTGCTGCTGACTGGCCCTTCCATAGGGGAAGGGTGAGAACAAACCTTTCCTTCACGTATTAATTCAAAAAGAATTCATGGCCTGGGAGAGGGTTGGTAACCATGGCAACAGATGTCAACACGGGGTGGCCTCGGCCGGTCCTGGGCTCAGTTTGCAGGTGTCGGGGGATTCTGTAGTTGCTGTTATTTACCCAACTTGGGGTGTTTTGGGTGGTAGCTGGGGCCAAACAAAGCTGGGGGATGATATAAGACACCTGGCCAGCTCAGGTGCCATGGCAACGGACAGGCCTTCACCTGCCCTTTGCTGATACTGTTTCAATCCCGCCTGTTCTGTTTGTTCTCAGCCCAAAGCAAAGCAGAGGTAGGAGGGGGCAGGGTGGGGGCCAGCCAGCTGCAGCCATTAAACAAGTCTGGGGGCAGGCAGCACGCGGGCTCCCCATCGGGGGCGAGGGCACAGGTGGCTCGCTGGGAGGTGGCTGATCTAGTGGACAGGTCATTAGGGCCCCTGGCCCTGGAGCCCACGGACCTCTCAGTGTTTGGGGTAGGGGACGGGGGTCACATGCCTCTACGCTAGGCTGGAGGGGAGGCCCCGGCTTTGGACAGCCCAGTGGCCTAATTTCCTGGAGGTGGGGTGGGGTACAGGCCCTCCTGACAGGAATGCCACCCCGGGGACGGTGCCCTTTCCCCAGATGCTATCTGCCTTGTTGGCCACACTTCCCCGTGCCCAGAACAGTGCCTGACACACAGTAGGTGCCCTGGGCACTGGCCGGGGAGGCTCATGCCGAGGGGGCTGGGTCCACAGGCTGCAAGTACAACCAGGTGAACAGCCACTTCCACTGCATCCGCGAGGGCTGCCAGTTCTCCTTCCTCCTCAAGCACCAGATGACCTCCCACGCCCGCAAGCACATGCGGAGGATGCTGGGGAAGAACTTCGATCGTGTGCCCGCCTCCCAGGTGAGAGCCCAGCCCACAGGCCGCCCCTCGCCCACCCAGGGTCCCGCTCCTGCCTGAACGGCGGACAGCCTGCCCACAGCCCAGCTTTTTCAGGGCCCCCCGCTTCCTTTCAGGGCCCCCCGAGCCTGATGGACACGGAGACTGATGAGTACATGGACTACACCGGCTGCAGCCCGGGCGCCGTGTCCTCCGAGTCGTCCACCATGGACCGGAGCTGCTCCAGCACCCCCGTGGGCAACGAGAGCACGGCCGCAGGTGAGCGGCCGCCGGGGACAAGCAGACAGCGGGCGAGGGGCAGGCCGGGAAGGGCAGAGGGGACCTGGGAGCTCCCGGCCTCGGCCAGACCCCTCCTCCCAAGGCCAGCACTGCTGAGCCCATGTTAGGACAGGAGGTGCATGGTCAAGTGGCCTCAAAGGAGGGCAGCCCAGTGTGCAGTGGTCTGGGACGTGGGTCATTGAGGCCACCGGCGGCCATCCTGCCCACTCCCCAGCATCTGCCCTCGGTCTCAGCTCCCAGGAGAGGCCCAGGCTTGGAGCCACGGAATAAAGCAGCTCTGCCCCCAGCCAGTGAGCGGGCCTGAGTGCCCAAGGCCAAGGCAGGCGCCCGCCACACCCAGCCCTGGCACCTCTTCTGGCCCTTCTGCCATTGGCCCCAGCACGGTCCTTGGGCCCCAGGCCCTTGCCAAGCCCGTGCAGTCCTCGCTCCCAGTCTGTCTCCGCCACCTCCTCCCTCTCTTCTCCGTGGCACCTCTCTGCTCCTCACCTGTCCACACGTTTTCATATCATACTTGCTTCTACCATTGGGTTTCTCATTTTGGTTCTTTTTTGTTTGTTTCTTGTGTTGTTGTTTTTTTGTGTGTGTGTGTGTGTTTTTGTGTTTTTTTTGTTTTGTTTTCTGCTTTTCTCCACCCTCTCCAGGCTGCCCGGCTCCTCCTCCTCCTCCTCTTCCTCCTCCTGCTGCCTCCGCCGGTGACCAGGCTGCCCGCGTGGC